TTCTTCTTCTTCTTCTTCTTCTTCTTCTTCTTCTTCTTCTTCTTCTTTTTTTTTAAAGATCAAAGCCACTTTGTTTTCAGCTGATGAAATCTTACCTGGAACATATTCAGAGGGATATATCTTCTGGGAGCTAAAGAGAAACACTCAAAGGAGAGAGGAATAGGTCATTGCTCACGCTGTCAAGGTATAGCAAGGCGACAGGTACTCTCTGAGCTGCTTCCCTGTTACCTGAAGCCCTGCTTGAGAATCACCTGTCAGGTGGCTCAGGAGGCTGAGAGCCAAGGATCACAATTCAAAGCCAGCCTGGGCAAGGAAATCCTTCAGACTCTTATCTCCAATGAACCGCCAAAAAAAGCCAGAAGTGGTGCTGCGGCTCAAGTGCGAGGGTACTTGAGCAAAAGAAGCTCAGGGACAGCACCCAGGCCCTGAGTTCAAGCCCCAGAACTGACACAAAACCACCAAACAACAACAAAAAAAACCCCAACAAATATGTTCAGAGAACTGGCCCCCACAACACAAGTAAGAAAATGTTCTAAATTAAGCAATGGCACGTTATTAGTCAAGATTCCAGGCATAGCTGGGTGCTGGTGGCTCACGCCTGTCATCCTAGCTATTCAGGAGGCGGAGTTCTAAGGATCATGGTTCAAAGCCAGCCCAGACAGGAAAGGCTGTTCATCTCCAATCAACCGCCAGAAAACCCAGAAGTGGTGCTGTGGCTCAAGGTGGTAGAGCGCTTGCCTTGAGCTGAAGAGCTGAGGGACAGCGCCCAGGCCCAGAGTTTAAACCCCACAACAACAACAATTGGCAGGGAGCTTGGTGACTCACACTTGTAATCCTACCTACTCAGGAAGTAGAGACTGGGAAGGTCAAGTTCTGGGGTCAGCCTGGGCATTGTCCTGTATGCTGAGCATCCTCCATGGGGCAAAAAGGGTAAATAGGAGGATTGTAGTTCTGCTGGCTAGGGCACAAAAGTAAGATGGTTTGAAAAGCAGTGAAAGCAAGATGGGTCGGGGTATGTGTGGCTCAGTTGGAATAGCACTTGCCTAGCAAGCCCAGGGCTCTGAATTCAACGTCCTCCCCCACCCATTATAGAAAAACAACAACAACAACCCAGGAAAAGAACTTTCTGTAACAAGTGTGGTGGTACATGCCTGTAATCCCAGCACTGGGGAGGTGAAGGTGGGAAAATTAAGAGTTCAAGGCCAGTTTGGGCTAAAGAGTAAGACCGTGTCAGCAGCAGCAGCAACCACACACACACACACACACACACACACACACACACACACACACCCTCACACCCCCTCATGCTGTACCAAGGTAGGCTAGGCAACTCTGCAGCGCTGTTCCTGCCTTATAATACAGCTCCTCTGGGAGTTCCTGTGCCAGAGGTGACTATGGCGAGAAGCCCGGCTTCCCAGTCATGGTAAGCTACACTTCATGTGGTCGCTGCACCACTGAGGTTGAAAAGTTGAGCACAGAGCAGGAAAAGCAGCTTATGTGAAACCAGGGGTCCAGAACCGCTGTGATGGTTGACGGGCAACACCAGGGAATCACCAAGATGAAGCACCTCTCCCCACCCCTGAAGACCAGGAAAGGACATGGGGGACAGCGCTGGGTTGAAAGGAAAGGTGAGAAGGTCAGGGGTGGTTTATGCATTCTCAATGACGGGGGTTTGGGGTTTTTTTCCTAGTTAAATATGTCCGAAATGTTTGTGATAGTTTTATTAAAAGCTAAAAATAGTTCTAAAGTAGTGCAAACACACAAAGCCCCAAGTGTAACGGAGTATTGCTTAACTGGGAGTGTGCCAAGGATGTGTAGTTTGGAAACTTAATTTGTGACATTCAAAAAAGAACTTTGCCCCCCCCCCCATGGGTACTAATGGCTCTCAAGTGTAATAGTAGCCGTGTGGAAGGCTAAGAATGGAAGGATGGTGGTTCCCAGCCAGCCCAGGCAGGAAAGTCTCCAAGACTCCATCTCAATGGAAAAAGCTAGGTGTGGTGTCTCACACCTGTCAGTCCAGCTAGAGCAGGAATGAAAAATAGGAGGATTCCAGTCCGGGTGTGTACTCAGGAAGGAGTCAAAGCCCTATCTCAAAAATAACCAGTTAAACAATAGGTTGGAGGCCTGGCTCAGCGAGAGAGCACCTGCTTAACAGGTGTGAGGCTCTGGGCTCAAGTCTTGCCTCTCCCGGGGCTCGCACGCAAAGCCCGGGTGCTGTCCCTGAGCTCTTTCAGCTCAAGGCTACACTCTACCGCTCTATCTCTGGGGCTATACAGCACCACGGCCAGCATTCTGGTGGTGAACTGGAGATAAGAGTCTCATAGACTTTCCTGCCCACGCTAGCTTTGAACTACAACCCTCACAGCTCAGCCTCTTGAACAGCTAGGATTGCAGGTGGGAGCCATCAGCATCTGGTTAAAAAAGAATATTTTTAAAGAATGTAAAACTGGACACACATGGCTGAGATTTGGGGTGGCTTGTCCTAGGGCAAAGTTTAATGGAGGGGAGTTATCCTGGATGAAGGTCTGGGGCTCCGGGGAGAGGGGGAGTCCCAGGAATGGACTAGGATTTTCTGGGACTAGGCTTTGCTCCTCTTTTCTGTCCTTAGACGGTGCTTCCGGGATGTTTTATGCACAGAGGCATGATGGGAAGAGCCAGTGTTGCAAGGCTAATGATAGAGATGCAAGAAGGAAGCAGAGGCCATGTTGGTCCCAGCGGTTTGGGGGTGGTCCTGTCTCTTCACTCAGAGTGGGCATGGGATGCCATCCTGTCCTCTAGCTCTCCAGGCGCCATCGGTGACAATCTATCTCCCTAGAGGTTTGTACAGTCAGTGATGCTGAGTTTTTGAGCCCAGACCTTGGCACCGTGCGTGTGACCCCCAGGTCAGCGTGGGGTCCATTGAGCCTCCCGTGTCTCACAGCACTGTGCACACAGTGACATTTCCCACCGGCGCCGCTGCTTTCTCAGTTTGCAGGGCCCCTGCCTGCTGTGTCATACACTGTCCTCGGGCGTTACGTAAATGCTACTATCCCACAGTGAGTTTATCCCCAGCCTCAGCTTGGAATTAGCTTTCCTCCGCCCTCCTCCTCCTCCTCCTTCTCCTGCTCCCTTCCTCCTCCTCTGCCTGTCCTGTGGTTTGAACTCAGGGTCCGAGTGCTGTCCCTGAGCATTTTTGCTAAGGTCAGCACTGTACCCCTTGAGCCACACCTCTACTTCCAGCTTTTTGGTACTTAATTAGAAATAAGAGTCCTACAGACTTTCCTGCCTGGGCTGGCTTTGAACCATGATCTCCAGATTTCAGCCTCCTGAGTAGTTAAGCTTATAGGCATAAGCACCTGGCTTGGTTGTGTGTGTGTGTGTGTGTGTGTGTGTGTGTGTGTGCATGTTTAAAGAGCGTGTCTCAGGATGTAGCTCAAGTTAGCCTTGACTTTAAGTCCTTCTGCCTCATCCTCAAGTTGTAGGATTACAGGCCTGTTCCACCATACTAGCTTGAGAAACTATGGGAAGCATCGCAACACATATGACAGAACAAGATTAGTATTAATACTTAAAAATCTACACATAGGGAAGAGATGAGTAATCCAATGTAGAGACAAACAAAAGGTCATTCACAGAAAAATATAAGTGGTTAATAAACCTAAGAAGATCACTAAATTCACCAGTGGCCTGAAAAATGAAAATTATGAAAAGAAACATGCTGGGGCCAGGAAGGTGGCTCCGTGGTAGAGCGCTTGCCTTGCATGCATGAGGCCCTGGGTTCCATTCCTCACCACCACATAAGCTGAAGTGGCGCTGTGGCTCAAGGTAGAGTGCTTGCCTTGAGCTGAAGAGCTGAGGGACAGCGCCCAGAACCAGGGTTCAGGCCCCACGACCAACAAAAAAAAAAAAAAGGAAAGAAAGAAAGATGCTTACAGCTATCGGATGACTAAACCTTGAAAACACAAATGACAGTGCTGTTCTAGGAGGGGGAACACCAGAGCCTCCCATCCTCTGGACTAGACTGGAGAGATCAGCTCAATGATATCCATCAACATTGAGCACAACCAAGTGCCACCCCCAACTGCCCGTCTCCAAGTGCCATAGGGACTGACTAATTCAATGTTCTGCAAAACACTACAAAGCAATTACAAAGAAGGGAGGCGGAGGGCTGGGAAGGTGGCTCAGTGGTAGAGTGCTTGCCTAGCATGCATGAAGCCCTGGGTTCGATTCCTCAGTACCACACACACAGAAAAAGCCTGAAGTGGTGCTGTGGCTCAAGTGGTAGAGTGCTAGCCTTGAGCAAAAGAAGCTCAAGGCCATGAGCTCAAGCTCCAGGACTGGAAAAAAAAAAAAAAAAGTTAACCTATAAGTGAATATGATCAAAATATATTCTAGAAATCCATGCAGTCAGGCGCTGGTGGCTCAAGCCTGTAATCCTAGCTACTCAGGAGACTATCTGAGGATTGCAGTTCAAAGCCAGCCCAAGTAGAAAAGTCTGTGAGGCTCTTATCTCCAATGAACCCCACAAAAGCCAGAAGTAGAGCTGTGGCTCAGGGGTAGAGTGCTAGCCTTGAGTGAAAAAGCTTGAAGACAGTGTCCAGGCCCCGAGGTCAAGCCCCAGGACTGGCCAAAAATCCTGAGGATTAACTTGGGGCACAGAACCTCAGCCTCCATGGGAGGGAGGCCTTCCATTGTACTCATCGACCTTGCAGGGTGAGAATGACCTTGGAACACCTAGAAGGCCACCCCCACCCCCACCCTCACCACAGGTGTCCAGGAAGAACAAACTCCCAGGCTCTTATCACTCAGTCCAAGAGGAAACCACCACCCTCTGCCCATCACTTCTCACCGCCTGCCTGGATTCCTCCGTGGCTGCAGCCCCTTCCACCTCCCCACGTTTTCTACCCGTCCTTGTCTGCATTGTCCACAGGGTGCGCGTGGACAGATGGCACCCCACACCACACACTTCCGGTGTCCTGGACTTGAAAAAGAGTGAAACGTGGAAAGGGTGTGCCTCTTACCTGGAAGGCTTTGTGTTAGGTTCTTTGATAAAAGAAGGGAGGGCGAAGACCAAGAAGACCAACACCACCAAAAGCAGGTACCACAGCGCCCGGGGGCCCAGAAGACAAGATCTCATGGTGCAGGGCTGGGTTCTAAAGGAAATGTCTCAGTCCTGAGGTTTGATGAGGCAGCCAAGGCCTCAGCTCAGGCCCCCGGCCGGGCCACAGTGCCAACCCTTTATCCTAACAAGGAGCCACTTGGGTACCTGGTAAACACCACAAAAGGCCAAGTCTAGCCGGTCCCTTGCTAGGGAATGGAGGGAAGTTGCCGTCCGGCTGCTTTATGAAGGCTTCAAGGCTGGCGTGGCTTGAAGGAAGAGGAACTCCTTTGTTCAAACAAGTTCACCTTCCTTCTTTGTCTCTGAAGCCATATCCGATGTGGAATCCAGGAGCTCAGCCCCACGGCCTGAGCGAAGGCTCTGTGTCAGGGTACTTAGTCTTCTGGCTTCATCAGCAAGTGTGGTTGTGGTGTGGATGCCTGATGATCATCACACGTAGTGTCTTGGGATAGGAGTGGTGTCACTCCTGTCTTTCAAGCTTTGCTGTGTGTCCAAAATGATGACCACCACATCTGCTGCTTGCTGCCAGCCTGGTTCTCCAGGCTGCACCTTGAGGCGCTCATGAATCTCTCCTGGGCATGAGTGTCACCCTCATTTAGGAGTTGAGGATACAGCCTCTGTGAACCAGTGATTGCTCAGGATCCCAGCGTGCACCCACCCTGGTCTGGGGAGGGGTCGCGATCGTACTAGCCCAGAGAGCACATCCTCACCCATTGCCAGCAGTGCCTTTAGCGACCACTAACTCTGTTTTGATTGAAGGAAAGAAAGAAAAGAAAAGGAGAGAGAAAACAAAACAAAACACCAGATAACTCTTGGGAAAATGTACCACCCAGAGTAATCAAAGCAGGCCCAGTTTTCTAGGTTTCAGGAAAACTTAGAAAAGTCAGACAGGTAGTCTCCATAAAGTATGTGGAGTATTAAGATGGGAAGCACTGACTTTGAGCTGGACAGGTGTTTCCAGGGAGCCTTGTGGGGGTAGGTGTGGTTTGGAAGGGTGGGGCCTGAGAAGTTCAAGGGCCTGGGTTCAGTGCTCTGGGTTTCTTCTAAGCACAGCTGCATTTCTTTCCCTAAAGCCTTTGGCCTTCTGCCAGGTCATACAGACTGCTCAGAACACTTCCCTGAGAAGGGGTGGAAAGAGGTTAAGAATGTGGTGCAAGCTAGGCAGCCGTGGCTCACACCTGTCACCCTAGCTACTCAGGGAGGCTGAGATCTGCGGATCACAGTTCAAAGCCAGCCCAGATAGGAGAGTCGATGAGACTCTTATCTTCAAGTAACCAGCAATCCCCTCCCCCCCCCCCAAAAAAAAGAAAAACTGGCTCAAGTGGTAGAGCACCAGCCTTGAGGGACAAAGTGAAGAAACAGCATCCAGGCCCTGAGTTTAAGCCCCAGTACTGGCACCAAAAGAGAAAAAAAATGTGGCCCAGAGAACACTGAGATTGACACAGACAAATTCATTGCACATGAAGGAGTGGGGGTGCCCTGCGGACCCCCTCTTCCTCTCTCATAGGATGGCATCTATTCAAAACATTTTTTTTTTACCCTAACTAGTCCTTTACCCTGACTGTCTTTCCTATGCACGCCCCACGCCCAACTTTCTTCCTATAGCCTCTGCCGAATGCTTGCAGAGCTAGGTAAACGGCAGGCCCAATGGGAAGGCATTTTCTTACCCCAGCCTTGGTTGGAATAGAGCGTCTTTCTTCAGAGCTCCTGGTGCTAATCTGTGCTGTGCCTCTCAGAACTGTAGGGATGGGTTGAACCTGCGGATCTGGAGGCCAACTCGTGGGGAGGGATAATGCGTGGGCCATTTCCTGCGTCTCAGGTTCCTGCCCAGGGTTGTGGTGTCTGGGCTTGAGAAACATGTTTTCAGGGAAATCTGACTTTCAGACATCAACACAACGCCTGCGTTTTGGCAAGATCTACTCTTTTATTTTTATTTTTTTCTGCTCTTTACATTAAACCTCTTGACTTTCCTTATAAACCAGCCAGCAGGATATGCAAGAACTCCTATGTACATTGGAACTGTGCAAAGGTCATTTTCAGTAAAAGGCAGTAAAAGAAAAAAAAGTGCCTGTTCCATAGATATGAAACATGACATATTAAAAGAGTTTATTCTGCTTCAGGAAGAATCAACGCATGGAGTGACCCATGAAAGAGAGAATTGTAGGAACACAAATTAATTTAGAGCCAGAATCGAATGACTTGGAAATTAGGGCAAAACTGGTTTTTCTGCAGGGAAGAGGGAAATCAGAGTGTGGAGATAATCTGTGTCTAGCTGGGTGGAGCTGGAAATCCCTCGAAGACAGAGAAGACAAAGTCCACTCACCTAGAGGGTGAGCCCCAAACCCTGCTTTTCCTCAGCCAGCACAGTTTGCAAGAGTCTACGTACACACGTATTTCATACATACATGAGAGCTTCTGGGGAAATGAGGACATCTCAGAGGAGGTGGCTTAGAACTCAACTTTCTTTAAGGTTTTCAAATAAAACATGAAGAACTTGCTGAAGAGAGGCCAGGTGATGGAGGGGAGCAAGGAAAATTCGGGTGGGCAGGTTTGTGGTGCTGGATACAGTTGTGTGTGTGTGTGTGTGTGTGTACATGCATGCGTGGGCCCCTTCCCTGCTGGCACAGGAAGGGAGAGCTGTCCCTACCAATGGAGATTTTCTTCAGTATTGAGGCTTGAACTCTAGGTCTGGGCGTCATCCCTTAGCTTTTGTGCTCAAGGCTGGCACTCCACCATTTGAGCCTTAATTCCACTTCTGGCTTTTGGGTGGTTAATTGGAGGTAAGAGTTCCGTAGACTTTCCTGCCCCAAGGTGGGCTTGGAACGGTGATCCTCAGATGTCAGCTTCTGGAGTAGCTAGGATTACAGGCATGAGCCACCCTCACCTGACCACCATAATCTAATTTAAAAACACTTTTATCATCATTTATCTAGAGAGAGATCATGCCTAGTATATATTATCTTCCTAGCTGGTGCCATATGCCTGGAATCCTAGCTACTCATGAGGCAGAGATCTGAGGATCTTGATTAGAAGCCAGCCCATGTAGGAAAGTCTCTGAGACTCTCATCTTCCATCAACTAGCAAAATAGCTGGAAGTGGAGGTATGGCTCAAGTGGTAGAGCATTCACCTTGACAGAAAAAGCTAAAGCACAGTGTGCAGGCCCCGAGTTCAAGCCCCAGTACTGGCACTGGTACTCACAGACACACGTGTGTGTGTGTACACACTTCATTACAACCTCTGGTTTTCTGGGATCTGGCACTCATTTCCCTCACTTTGGAGGAATTAGACTGAGAGAAAGCAAGGGCACACCCTAGCCTGGAATTATGGTAAGGAGTCTGGCCTGAAAGAAGTGGGAGGTGAATGAATGGCTTTGCTTGTGAGTGAACGCACTGCACCTTCGCTGAGAGCTCAGGAGCGCTGGGCTCCCGGGTGAGTGTTATAAACTGTGTGGCATTGTCCGAGAGAAGGCCCGTGGTGCCTTTAGACTGGCATGGGCAGTGCACCTAGACAGCTTAGGCTCCAAAGGGTTCTCTCCACTGTTCCCCATGCCAACCGGCAAGGTTGCGGGGTGTGGACACCCTAAAGGCAGAGGGTGGGAGCCACGTGCATAACCACCCAGCACAAGCACCCAGAGCGGCCAGGTTGGAGAGGAGCTGCCTATTTGAACCCTCCAACAGCATGGCCAGGGGCACAGCCGTGAGCCAAACAGCCCAGTCCCGTCCGCGTCAGGGCTAATTCTAGAACAGAGCGTGAAGAATCCATTGGACTTGGAAGGACACGGAAGTGCAAGGTGATTGCTGGGCGCGGGCAGCTCACCTGCGGAGCTGACCAGGGACCAGAGGGACACAAGCTGTGACAGACCCAGGGGCAGAGGCCGGGCAAGGCCAAGGCGGCAGGAAATGCCAGGCCTGGGATGCCACCTGATCTCTCAGATGAGTCACACCAGCGTTTTGGAGCGGAGGGGACAAGAAGGTGGTACAGAAGCTAGAACTGGGGGAACAGCATTGAAAACCCACCCATGGCAGATGCCGGTGGCTCACGCCTGTCATCCTAGCTACTCAGGAGGCGGAGGTCTGAGGATCTCAGTTGGAAGCCAGCCCAGTTCACAGCCAGGCAGGGCAGGAAAGTCCATGAGACTCTTATCTCCAATTCAGGACCCAGAAAAGCCAGAAATGGAGCTGGGTTGCAAGTGGTAGAGGGCTAGTGTTGAATGATAAAAGCTCAGGGACGGTGCCCGGGCCCCGAGTACAAGCCCCAAGACTGGCATCAAGCAAAACAAGACTACAAAACGCTTGTAACTTCTCCACAGAGGAGGAAGAGAAAGAGGAAACAAGGTTACAGTATTTCTGAGGAAGCATTAGACCAGATCCTCAGGGGACCCTCAGAGAGAAAAGACAAAATCCCCTTTCCCACCTCCCTGCAGCCACAAGTCAGCCGGGGCAGCCTCCCAGACGGACTGGGGTGCGGGGGGCGGGGGTCTGCCCTTGTGGGGTGTCTCTGGCTGGAGGATGAAGGGTACTAAGGACATCGAGGTACCAGAGACAAGGAAGGCGGACAGCCAGCAAAGGCTTTTTTTTCCTTTTTCTTTTCTTTTGTTTTCTGGTCATGGGGCTTGAACTCTGGGCCTGGGCCCTGACCCTCAGCTCTTCAGCTTAATGCAAGTGCTCTACCACTTGAGCCATAGCACAACTTCCAGTATTCTGGTGGTTTATTGGAGATAAGAGTCTCATGGACTTTCCTGCCCAGGCTGGCTTTGAACCACGATCCTCAGCTCTCAGCCTCCCGAGTAGCTAGGATGACAGGCGTGAGCCACCAGTGCCCAGCTTCCTTTCTCTTCTTGCAGAGATTCTTTTTGTGTCGTTAAGAGATCGGAGGGTTAGAGGAGCAGCTCTGTTGGTAGAGCACTAGCCAATGAGTGAAAGCAGCAGGTGCTGAGTTCAAGTCTATATCTCAGACCTGAAAAATAAATAAGAAATGAGATTCCATCTAATGCCAGGGGGGAACCCAGGAGAAACAG